TTGGAGGGAAATCTTTATCTTTATTCAAGCTGCTAAGGTTGACTCTAACTGTTCTCGAGTATTTATCATTATCAAAGATTTTTTTTGCTTCGTAGAAAGATAAATTCTGTGTTGCCATTAATTCATTAATATTTTTATATCTTTTATATATTCTGCAATCTTTATTATAAGCCTCGTGGTTATCTTTGCACAGGCAGCATAGATAGTTGTTATCTTCTATACATACGTCTTTAATATGAGGACCTGCACATTTGGGACACGTTAGGTCGTTCCGGCATTTTTCCCGAACGTGGCCGAATCGCCAACATTTGTGGCATTGGGTAATCTTTTTAATAAATGGGCTGACTGGGCATTTAACAGAATGTATGCCTACCTTATCCGGCAGAGTTGAACCTCTGAAAGATAATTTCACGCATTGCGAGTTAATTCTGCGCCTGTTGATGTTTTTTGGTACAAAACACTTTACGTCTATTATCGGAATAACTGATTCTATCTCTTCTAATATTTCTTCTGCAGTGAGATTAATGTCTACATCAAAGATTATACCTTCCCTAATTAATAGGTATTTAGGAATGTAAGCTTTCAATTTATTATCAGTAAAAAAACTATCGTCAAGAAGGCTATTTGCTGTTTTACCGTTCCTAAGAACTAGTTTGACTTTATTGTTACCAATCACGATAATCTCCAACAAATCTTCTTTCGGAATCGATCGTGATCTGTGTAGTAATTTTCCGAGAGCCATTGGGTGTAAACGTCCAATGTTTTTACTTAAAGATTCTACGTAAATGTAAAAAGGTCCAGTATCACACATATCAAAACGATTCGGTAGATGAATTTCATCAACGTTAATTCGATTAGAATTCTCATCACTAGGTACTTGCTCAGTCATTTCAATATTTTGTGCTTCATTGCTTTTGTCACACACATTAACCATATTAATCGAATCTTCAATTCGAATTGACTCTTCAATCACCGTTTCAGCACTATTAATTTGCATTGGAATATATTCACTTCTTATTATGCTCTCCTCATTATTTGAATTACGTAAATCTGTATAATTTTCATTTCCGACATAGTACACATTCATTGCATTTGCAACAGTCACGCCAATTTCCGAACATGTAGGAGGATTTTTATCGGGCGGACGGCCCTTTAATTGTCCGGTATCGGACTCCATGAAGACATTAAATTAATTAACACAGCAAAAATGCGGTTAATTTACTTATTAACCACTTATATTAACATAAAATACACAATGTTTATACGACACTGCGTGCCCCCGGCAAGGGGACACGTGTTTAACGGTATCTATTTGTACACAATGCAGACACTAACACAGGTTGCTGGACAGGTAGATAAAATATTAGTACTTTTTGATATTTATGTAATGATTATTTATTCACCGATGTTAACTGCTCAACGTCTGAACGAATACTGCGATGTAATTTTTAGCATCCTAATTTTGGCTACTGTACAGCCGCGTTTTTATGTTTTTTTTTTTTTTTTCTTTTAAATCATATGGTTTAATGAGCGCCATTTCCACCAGAATTAAAGTAATTCACATTCCATCTAGAATTCACTTCATTATAGGCATCTTGATGGATTCTAGCAGATTCACTACTTCAGCACAAACTATTTTCAGAAACTCACGATTTTATATCACAAACAAACATCCATGTTTCTAAGGCATACATGTTTAGGAAACTTTGAAACGTAAAGATATGCAAAAATCACAAACAAACATCCATGTTTCTAAGGCATACATGTTTAGGAAACTTTGAAACGTAAAGATATGCAAAAAAATATTTTCGTTTTTTTGCGACTACTATAACTTACTCCGCGAGATGTTAAAAATGAAAACAAAATTTATACTGATTATTAAAATTTTTGTAAAAAAATCTGATAATTTGATGTGAAATCTACATTGATCATTTTTGACCATCAAATGGCAATTTTTGAATCACCAAAAACCTGATTCTGCCATTGCAAGAATTTAGTCAATTCTTCATTTCGTCGCACAAGTAAAATGTTTTGAATTTTTCAATCGGATCGAGAATGGGCCTCTAAAAAATTGAATATCTATTTTTTATTATTTTGCCCCTTATTCCGAAACGAGTAAAACTGCTTTACCAAAAACTAATCAGCACATCTTCCCGACAATTGAATGATATCATTCAATCGGTTGATTCGTCTCAAAAACGTCAACAAAAAAATGTAACCGCAAATACACAATCATACATTTATTTTACCTAAGGTATGCCAAAATGTTCAGAAGGTTTTGAAACGTAAATATTTATAAACAATTTCATTTACGTTTCGTTTTTCGAATTACTACGACTTACCCGTGAAGGGAATGCCAATTGGTGATCAAAAATGAACATTGAACATAAGCACACAAAATTGGCAGATATTTTAGTTTTGGTTCACTTATATCTTATAGATGAAAAAAAATACGAAGGGTATGTAAAAAATAAGGTTCCGAACGCTGTACACTCGCCGCGCGAGATACTAGGGGAAATCCGGCAACACCATGTTCTTTGTTGATCCTTGCCACTCCATTCCAACTACCTGGAAGATCACTGCAAAGCTTAGTGCCAATCTAACAGCCATCCGCGATGGAGCGCGCAATCGCCGTCACCGCCAGGTGTGAAATCCGTTCAGTCATTCAAGTTTTAAACGTGAAGAAGCTTACACCTACTGAAATTCATAGATAGTTGGAAGAAGTTTATGGCAAAACTTGCATCAACGTCCAGCACGTCCTCAAATCGTGCAGGGAGTTCTCCGAAGGACGCACCGACGTCTACGACGAGCAAAGGAGCGGGAGGCCATCGAGTTTTGGGCCCGAAAATGTGTCTTGCTTACCGAGTTAATGCTTAAAGGGTTCACTATAAATTCGGACAAGTACTGCAAGATACTAACAAAACTCAAAAAAGCCATTCAAAATCGCCGGAGAAGAAGACCGAGCAAGGGCGTGGCGGCGGAGTTTTTCGAAGCGGGTTTTCAGAAGTGGAAAACTCCTCAGAAAAAAATGCGTTGAAAGATCTGGCGACTATGTAGAAAAATAGTTTGGAATACAAGCTTTCCGATGGTATACACATTTATTGCAATAAAAAATGTCTCAACCCTGAAAAAAATGTAGGAACTTTACTTTTTACATGACCCTCGTATATACAAACAACGAAATAATTAAATTATCATAAAATAACAATTAATATATTATGTTAATTTCCGAACTAAAATAAGAAATCATTTAAAACCATTTTAAAGCGTTTTGTATGTGAGATTCACCTTAACAAAGTTGCAAGAAATGAACAGAGCTTCAATATTTCTCCCGAAAAAGCTTATCAATTTGATACTTTTTATTTTAACGATACATCAATAAAAATATTAATGAGGCGCCATTGAAAAAGTTTGATTAGGAAACGAATAACATTCTATTTCATAGAAAATTATCTAAAGCAGGATCAATTCATAAAATAAATTGCAGTGACAAATTTTCGGGTTTAAAATTTTGACATTCGGAAAAATTTGCCGTCCCCCAAATTGTGCCGCCCTATGCCCGGGCCTCACGGATTTTTGAATGAATTTTTTTCCCAAACTGTAATATCTAATTCAAAATTATGTATAGGACATATATCGCCAATACAGTTAGAAAATCCTTACATTTTAGGAGTCTGACTCCGCCTTTTGTCTACAATGAGTTAAATATTCAAGTTGTGTGTTTGGTAACAAAATACATAAATAAAATCTTTATGAAGTAATTTTGTTGTTAAATTAGTGTTATATCTAAGTCCTAAAACAGGCTCAGGATGGGATTAGTAGTTTTAGCTATGGGACTTTACAGAACCCAGATAAGATACCCGGCAGTCTGATGTCAAGCAGTAGTGACATTGATTTTTACTTATAAACATATGTAAATTGCAATATGTTTTCAAGTGAAAATACCCCAATTCCGCATAAATAAAAAAATTATCATTATTACAGAAATTGTAAAAATAAAATACATAAGAAATTTTTGGATTTCCATCTATGAAACCAACGTAGGTAGTTAAGTTAAATGATCAGAACAGTTAATAGGACCCTTAAGTTCTGATCTCTGTTCAAATAATAATAATAACTAGTGGTGTATGGCATCGTGCCTTAAGGCAAATTGCTAGAACTACCCGCACGGTAATAAAATATTTGAGAAATATTAAATGTTTTCAAATAGATAATTATAAATACTGTAACATATATATGTTTACAGAAAAGTAAATAAAACTTAATCAATCGAATTTAAAATGAAGGACATTGTCTAATATTTATAATATATAAGTGAGCTTTAGAACTTTAGCTAGAATTAGAATTAAAGTCTGAATTATTTTCGATTCGATCCTGAATTTTTTTTTAGAAATTAAAAAAAAATTTTTTTTTTTTTTTTCCAAAAGAAATCGTTTCGACAATACAAGCATAAAGTTTTGAATCACTAAAATCGGATGCTTAGTTCTTTCAAAAACTGCCATTTTTTGCACATATAGCTGCGTATCTCCAAAACGGCTGAACCTGCCTCTGCCAAAAACTAATAACTATTTTCGCTATCAATACGAATTAAATGTTTTCAGATCATTCAATTCGGATGTTCCGTTCTCTTCGAAACTCGATTTCTATTTTCTGCTCTCTTAGCTCCGTATCTCCAAAACGGCTGAACCTGCCTCTGCCAAAAACTAATCAGCACATCTCCCTAACAATAGAGATCGATTGTTAAAATCAATTGATTCATGCCCCCGAAAACATTTTGTCTGACGTATGCCAATAAAGTAATAAATTATAACATGAATTTTAAAATTCATGTAAAGATATGCAAAATGTAAAGATATGCAAACATTTTCTCTACGAAAGTTAAAAAAAATCGACCTGTTCGGTAAGAAATAAATTTTTACGTTTTGCTGAAATAAAATTGAAATGGTTGTGTTACTGTAATTAAAAGCAAGATTAGTTATAGAACATTTATTAGTGTGGTGATTATTAATTTACATATATTTATATATATGTCACATCCTTGAGAAGACCAATATAGATACAAATATAACATGGATTTGAAGTGATATTGAGTTTTGAATGTATCACGTCAATATAAAGAGTGTTTGTCAAATATTGTCTCCTAATCCACAGTGCCATCGCTCGGTTTCATTGGTTCGCCTAGCTGCATCAGCCGATAGCGCTGCAACTGAAAAATGTATTTAGTTATGGATAAAAATGTGCAAACAGTATTATTATAAAAATAAAAAAAAAACAAAACCATCGCAAAATCATTATAAACTTAATTAATTCAACATTTAATCTATCTATCTTTCGTACACTTCTTAATCTCTTGATTGGAGTTGTTAAATAGAATCATACTTTCATTTTTTTTAATTTTTTTAAGACTAATTCAAAAAATATAAAAAATTATCAATAGATATCAATTGGTAATGCTAATTGTCTTAATTAGTTTTATGCAAAGTTTAGATGATTATGTAATTAATATATTAATAATAAAAATCTTAAGTAAATCAATTTATGCACTTTTAATGGATTTTTTAAGTTACTTTATCAATAAAAATGCATACTGTTTGTGATGTAGAAAGAATTGAAAAAATATGGAATAAAAAATATAAAACTGTGAAACATTTTGGCGCATACAAGTTGAATATCGAAAATTGAATTTATATTGCATATAAATGTAAATTTATTATATTAATATTATTTGTATTAATGTTTTATTATTAATTTTTTGATAAAAATCTATTTTTGATAAAAAAATAAATACCCATTTTACAATAATATGTTCCAAATTTGAACGGATCGCTTCATCATCAACATCCGAAGGTTGCAGTTGTGTATTATATCCTGAAAAATATATAATAAGAATAATAAAATAAAATAATAAAATATAAATAAAATTTATCACTATTATTGTACTATAATGAAGAGAACGAGAGCAAAAAGTATAGAATTCTACATATACTTACAATTAGTTCGAAATAAACGCTTCTATGTAATTGAATTGATTGACTTTTAGAAACCTTTAAATTGATATTTACCAACATTTTACAACGAAAAGTCTGAATTGTGATATGCATGAAAAGGCTTTTGAAAATAAAGTAATAAATTATAACATGAATTTTAAAATTCATATCACTAGGATCATTTATGTAAATATTTCGAATTTCCTCTTTTAAAGTAAACATTATAGTAAAATTAATTTCTACAATTTGGAGTCTAAATTCAGAAACAATTAAGGAATAATAAATTGAATTGCAATTAGAGAAGGAAACTGATCAGTTGAACTTTTTATAAATAAAATATGCAGTTCTATTATATAAATAACGATCAAAATAAATTTTGTTTAAAATGTTATGCTATAATTCCATATGATAATCGTTTAACAATATAACAAATTAAAAATGCATTCTGAATGATTGGTTTTATACTCTACAATTTTTAGTAACGTCAGTATAAAAACCATTTCAAAAAGAATACACCGTAAACACGTAGTCTTAATTTAGAAAAGTAATTGCATATTTCTAGACCTCGGCTAATAATATAATGAGTTCTTAATTGTATTTTTTCAACATAGGTACGTAATGCAAGACAATCAAAATAATTGAATTTGTTAATTCAGTACCTGTGGGTGACCTCTGATTAACAAGTGCGGTTGTTTCAGGAGTTTCATAGGGTGAGAAGACCTCTTGGTCGGAGCGTTTTCCATGTCCACCGAAACACGAGTGGCCGAACGCAATGCAACCGCCTGAGAAACGATTAATTTTAAATTTCAAATTATTTCCATTTAAACATAATTATAATTAATGTTAGATTTTTAATAAGCCTGTGAAGTTTTCTTAAATAATATCAGGATTCAGTACAATTTACACACCTGTGTCACACAAGCATTTTCTTCAATATCATAATACAGGAAAGTCAAACATTTTCCCCGCATAATAACATAATAAACTAGCTGTAAGTGGAATTCTGTCTTAAGGCAATTAAGGCATCGTGCCTTAAGGCAAATTGCTTTAACTTCCCGAACCGCAATTCAAAATTCGAGTAATTAAAAATAATCAATAATAACCAATAAAAGTTGATCAATGATTTGAAACTTTTAATAAAATTTCGAACCATATTATATCATCTTAAATCATTCTATCTTAAATCATTTATTTTAAAATATTTTGGAAATTCTGAACTTTTTTTCAAAGCAATCGTACTGCATTTAACTGCATAAAGACGCCGTCTAACGCATAAACATTGGTACGGAACCCATAGGAATGTAAACAAAATTTATACTTATTGTTAACATCTCTATAAAATATCTAATTATTTGATGTGCATATGCCTAATGTTTATTTTTGACCGCCAAATGGCTCATTTTTTTACTTTTTCCTCCATATCTCTCACTCAGTTAATAAAAATAAAATGTTTTTTGAATTATGAACGATCCGTTCTCTTAAAAACTGAGTTACCGTTTTTGGCACTTTTTGTCCCGTATCTTCGGAACGGCTAGACCTGCCTTCGCCAAAAACTAATCAACACGTCTCCTTATCAATACGAATCGAATGTTTTTTTAAATATTCAAATCGCTTCATCCGTGTTACCGAAATCGTCGACGAAAATTTGTATCCGCACATACATACACACACGCACACACACATACATCCATTTTTTCTAAGGTGTGCCAAAATGTTCAGAAGGTTTTGAAAACAATTTTCATTTTCGATTTTTTTGCGTTTACTATAACTTGCCCTACGGGAAGTTAATAAGTTTTAGTAAACTTTAACATATCTAATTCTCAGTTATATAGATTAATAGAATAAAATAATGAAAGATTAAAAGAATTAAGAATCTATGCTTAAGTTCATTTCTTTCATCTAATTTCCGAATACGCTTTGGTGAGAAAACGCGGTCATAAAATGAGAGACTATAAAAATTGCATTATGTCAGGAAAATCAAATTTAGGAAAGCTTATTAATATTCATTTACAAATTAATGTAAAATAAGGTAAGTAGGTACCTTAAACCAAGTAAGCTGAATTGTTTTTAGATTGCATTTTTCATCATTTTATATTAGGAACTCGAGATCGTTACTCATACTTTAAGATAATGTATATATATACAGTACCGGTCAAAAGTTGGATCCACTTCACTCGTTCATTGTTTTTTTATTATCAATATTTATGAAAAAGTAATCACTGTTTATCCAAAATATGTCAACTTTTTTTATAGATAATACTATATAAAAGATCAATAATTTCACTAAATAGCTGAGCCAATAAGATTTGAAATTTAGCAACTTTAAAATAGCCACAATAGAATTTAAAATTTTAGAGATGAAAGCGCATTTTGCAGGCGTATAATATTTTAAGATATTTTAAAAAACTCTGCCAGCAGACATTGCAAAGAAACGGCTCGACAAATCTTTACCAAAACCTAAACGCTACGATTACCAACTGATACTTTCCGAAGGGTTTTAACTTTTCAAAATGAGTTCAGATATTTTGCAAAAACGTAAAGAAAAAATTTTGTAAGATTTCTGTTAACTATAAAGGAACGGTTTGACCGATGGCCGCGCAAAACTAGTCTCCTTATAAAGTTTCATCAAATAACTTTGAATTTTCAAAATCTATGTAGCTATTGTCAAACCACTTAGAATCCCTTGAAACGTCAATAATCCAAAATTAGCAAATAAGACTTTTTGGTAAAAATATAAATTTCTACTTTATGTATAATAATTTAATGTATTTTTTTAAACAAACCTAATTGACTATAAATATGGTAAAAGTATGAATAAATTTAAATATTAGCTTCATTTAAACATTTTCAATTTATTAAGTAACATAATCCCGCGAAATGAAGAGAATAGCATGCACTTGGGATAAAGGAATTGTGTGAACAATTGTATATTATATACTTATAGTCCGAGCGCTCAATTCAGTATTACCATTCGCCACTTTCATATAATTTTAAGGAGAGAAGTCTAGAATTAACCGTAAAAGTCTTGCACAATTTTTATTTTATTTACACACAACACTCATTAAAAGTCAAATTGTATATTTACCAAAAATTATAATAGAAAATACCTTAAGATGACCTCAAGCTGCAAGTACATAGATAAACTCAAGAGTTTCAATATTTCAAAGAAGGGGATATGCCATATATGCGAAATGTAAAAAATGACCTAATACACTAACATCAAATCATCAGAAAGAAATAAGTGTCCAATATATATGCTATCTCGGAGACATAATAAAAAGAGGATTTAAATAATATTTTTATCAAGATTTTAACATGTATTTACAAATTGCTTACAACACAATAAAAAATGTGCAAAAAAATCACAATTAGTTCCACGCATGTTAAAATCTTAATAATTTTTTTTTAATTCCTCTATTATGTCTCCAACTAGTTTACTAATAGCACATATATTGCATACTTATTTCTTTGTGATAATTTGACGTTAGTAAAATTCTGAAACATTGCTATAATTACAAGTTTGATGTTTAATTAACATAGCGTAGTGTATTATTAAATTTGCTGTTTTTAACTCTAAGATTAGCAAATTGTAAGTATTTTCTACTTTTCATAATTTTTCAATTTCAATTCTTTTCGTTTTGTAAATTTTACTTTTAGTTTCTACAGAATGAAGGTTAGAACTATAGCTGAAACGTATGGACCATAAAAACATATTTATCAAGGAAAAAAAACTCACATTTTTTGATAAAATCGTTTTTAGTAAAAGTGTTAGTGTATAATCAATCATATAGGTAATTAATTCTGTTTTTCAAACCCTTTTTTTTTTAAAAAAAAAAAACTGTCTAATTTTCCAACATTTCTAATATTTTGTTATATAATCCACTCATTTATTTTTGTTACTTTCATTTTGATAGTCAAATTTCTGTAATGTTATTTCTTCCACAATTTTATTCATTCTATAAAAAAAATCCACCATTTTCTAGTTTTTTTAAATATATTGTTTGTTTAAATTTTATCAAGAACATGTTTCTTGACAGATGGCCTGAATATGGAACGTACCTAGTTTCGAAACGTCGACAGTAAATAAATAAAGAAATTTTTTTTTTAAAAAAATTACGAAACCCTCTTCTCAATAATCTATTATATATAATTATATATATATATATATATATATATATATATATATATGTATGTGTATGTATATATGTATGTATGCACGTCGATATCTATAATTAAATTTTTATTGAAAATCAACGTGATTCCCAATACTATATCTCAAATATATATCATGTCATATTGACTTCCAATTAAAATATTGCTAATTTACTTACGTTTTGCTTGTACTTGTCCTAGCCATAAGCAAATTATTGCTCCAGCAACTAGAGCAATTTGAAGTAATCGTGGTATTGCAGCTGGCATTGAAATTTTTAGATTTAATTCAAATTCTGTAAAAAATAAATCGGATAAATGCTAATGAATTTAATAATGAATTAGTAATTGCATATTCACGTACTTTCATCTTTGTAAATGATAATAATACTATATAAATAGTGATAGTGATAGTAATAGCAATGGTAATAGTAAAACACTATATTCCACATGCATCAATAAAAATCACAAAAACAACTAACGGGAAGGGCAGCTGAAATTTTTTATTTAAATACTAGATATTATAATCTATTTACTGTATTAGTTTCATTTGATTCTGTTCGTTCAATTTTTTTTCTATACTTTGAACTTGTACATTGAACACGCTCTAACATGGGAGTAAATACAATTTGGGAATGATTGTAGACGTAAAAGCAAGGGTACAAAATCTGAAATTAATTAATTTAAAACTAAATATTATATTGCTTATAATGTGTTGATATAGTTTGATAATTTTAGTTCAATTTAATTTTTTCCGTACTGAATACCTTAACATTATTTTAGGGATGATTTGGGGCAAAACGGTGCTAGTAATTTTTTTATAATATTATTATCAAAGATTATTTTGTTTTTTTTTTGACCTCAATACGAGCTTTTTTTCTGCACTATATACCTATGTTCACGAAACATCTCATATTAGGGCGGTCCGGCCGTCATGGGGTACTGATTTTAGTAGCCATTTTCGATTTTTTTGGTTTAATTTTGGTGGTACAAATTAGTACAAATTCGAATTAATCGATTTCCATTTAATTTTTTTTTATTTCCTTCTAAAACAAAAAGCGGTCTTGCTAGATTAATATTAAAGCTAGCAGCATTTTATGATACAAATTAGTACAAAATAAGTACTAAATAGTACAACAGGTCCGGATCGATTTTGCTAATTTGGTCTTGCTAGCTTAACAGATGTCTTGAACTGAGCCAAAACAAATACGAGAATCGGTTTTTGGACATTTTAGATTTTAGCGCTCTTTTACCAGTGTATGTATATATTTATATATATATATATATATATAATATATATATATATATATATATATATATACTTTAAAATCTAAATTTCTGTCTATAACAATATATAAATTTTAGAATGAGTTTTTTATAAAATTGTCATAAAAAATTTCATAAAAGCTCATTCTAAAATTTATATATTGTTCAATTTAAAGTGACAAGAATTGGTTTTATTGTGCATTGTGAACAATTATAATTATGAAATTACCCAAAACAAGTCATGTGTGGGTTTAGTTTCGTATTATACATAGTTGTAATTATCATCTGTGTTAATCGAAGGAGGGCAATTGAATGATGTATGACCGGGCGGTGTTTATTCATATCACTGTTTTCCATAATTCTAATTTATATTCACACGATGCGTATTCTTGGTGACTCGTCTTGAGACGACATATTGTCCTTAAATATAATGAGTTTGTACAACGTTCCCCATCTTATTCTTGCATTTACTAATTATGTTATTTTAAATTCATGAATACAGAAATCGGTATAATAATCGGCAGTCATTTGTAATTTTATGCATTACCCCAGATAAATGTCCGTCTTCGAATCTTATAGCATATTAAGTAGCACATTATGATTTGTCACATTATAAATGTAAAGCTACAAAGAAAATAAAAAATATTTAACTAATAAATAGGATAAATATAATATTAAACAAACGCTTACAGTGCATTGCGATTATTCTCCTATAGTTAATGTGTTATAAATTTTGAACTCACATTTATGAAATAAAAGAATACACTACGTAAAGAAAAAAGAATTTAATACGTATGGATTGCAACATGGAGTCAAACTACAAACAGATAGCATTGAGAAAATGAAAAATAAAGCCACAAAACCTACAATCTTTCCAATTTTACACCTACTAAAGAAGTTCAATGCATAACCATAACCGATAGCCTATCACTAAATAGAATTATTACTAGTGGCGCATGGCATCGTGCCTTAAGGTAAATTGCTGGAACTTTCCGTACCGTAATAATTATTAAATGTATTCAAATACATTTTTATAAATATTCATCCTAATTTATATACAAAATATAAGAGCTTATAAATTGGACGATAACATTTATATATGCTTTGTATATTCATATATAAAAAGTAAGTAAATAAAACTTAATGAAGCAGTGTTATAATAAAGGATCTTATCTTATATTTCCAAGAACTACATAAATTAAATTGCAACATTAAAATTATTTATTTGAAGTTCATAAGTGAACATTAAAATTTTATAAAGAATCCGAATCATTTTCGATATCAAAAACATTTTTTTGAAATTAAGAAAAAAAAATTTGAAATAAAAGAAAATTGCTTTTTCAAAATCTAATCATTTATTCACAAGTAAAATGTTTCTTGAATCATCAAATCGGATACTTTGATATCTTAAATTTTTGGCACATTTAGATCTCCGAATCGTTTTTTGAATCATTCAGATCAAATGGTCCGTGCGCCAGAAATCATGCAATAAACACATACATTCGTTTTTCCTATAGTGTGCCAAAATGTTCTGAAACCTTCATAAAAAATGAAAATTTTTTGAAAATTTTGCACGTGAAATGTGCAAAAAATTTCATTTTTGAGAAAAGGCTAATAATATAAGCCTTATGTTATCTCAATAAACTATTTTTGACCACATTCAAATAAAATTTATGTGAAGTATGCAAAATGCGTGCTACATAAAAAGTCAGAAAAATTTGAATGATTGAGATGTCATATTTACATCTTTGCCCGTTCGGATCGAGCCCGTTTTGAACCAGACGATAACTGGTGATAAAAGTGGATTGCATTCAACCTCCAATTGTCATTTGCTTTTGTCCTAGAAGCTTTTTTGGCAGCAAAAAATTCAACAATGTAGAAGATGTCAAAGAAGCACTGGTTCAAATTTTCGCATCTAAAGATGAAACATTTTTCAAAAATGGGATAAAAAAATTGCTCTCGCGTAGTCAAGAGAACATTAATAATAATAACAATTATATTATTCAATAAAGTTAATTTGCGAAGAAAAAAAGTACTTGTTTTATTCCACAAACGGATAGAACTTTCCGGTAGACCTAATATATTTTAGGTCTTTTATTGTGGTCAATATTATTAGGTAATTTATTATTAGGTCTATTAGGTTAATACATTAGGTGTTATTTAAACTAGTTAAGATACGAAGTATTTCTCACCAGTTAACTTGACTTTCTTGAATAATTTCAACTGTTTTTATTTCTTAAAAATTATAAATATGAGTAGGATATGATAAAAAAATGCCCTCTCATTTTCCGCGTCAGGGATTTGTGTGGGCGTCTACACCTTTATTTACGTTAACTGCGTTAACTTCATTCAACCGAGGTGACCACTGTAAAACCTCTGAATATTTTAGTCAATCCATGAAACAAGAAACAAAGTTAATTACCAAAAAAGTTGGCACACATCTTATTACTCATTTAATCTTTCTGATATTTGCATTATTATAGCACCCATAATTAGAATATATTATAATAATAATTATTTTTTTATGAAGCTCGGGTGTAAAATATTTTTGTTTGAATAAAAAGAATATTTTTATACTTCAATTAATACTAATCATGAATCTGATTTATGAATCTTCTCTGACTTTAAATAAATAATTATTTTGCATATGAAAAAATGCGTAAATATATTATTCTAACAGCTGTTAATGGTATTTCACAAAAATAATACCAATGAAAAATAATCGAATACTATATTTGTCATTTCTCCACAATATAGCCGTTCTGCATGATATACATTTTTAAAAACAAGATTGATAAAAAATGTACTAATATCAAACACAAACAAAGGTTTTTTACTTTACTTTTGCTTTTACGACTCATAGAAATATTTATTGTTCATAAAAATAACAAATGATAAATTTTACCAAAAAGACATTCATAGACAGAACAAATTATAAGTTATATTTTCCATTTTATTAGGGAGAAATCCCGTAATGCCAAGTACCAGACACTCTACTTAACACGTATTATAAGCGAGTATAAATCTGTTCATTTCAAAATACTAGTAAGGGGCATGGGCGGCACACAGGTACAGGATCACGCGCCAAGCCTCGCCTGTGACAAACAAGGCCACGGCGAGAGCAACCCTTTCCTGTTTTAGGCGCAAAATCACGGCGTCACCTAAATATCAATGGAAGTAATTCTAGCATATTTATGCTTTTACATCTGAGTGGTATGCAAAGATAAAAGTTGTACTTGATTGTTATCCGTAAAATGGTAGAATATTATTAGATCTTTTAACCAATTTTAGTAGGTGCCACCAAATGAACGAAAATGTCTGTCCCTTAGCACCGGACACTAAGTCGTCCCTTAGTGCCGGACAGTAAACATATTGATATTTCTTGTGAGAATTTACGTAATTTATTCCAATTAATAAATTTTATTCTGTATGAGAGCTAACGGTTACTACATAGCCCCATTTTTGTATTTCCTAGTCAAAGAATGAAAAGCTTGTGGTGAATGCACCAGCTGAGAGTATCGGTGTGGCCCAGCTAAAAAGGTAGATAAATAGTGACTTTTTTGCAATGTCTAAGAATATTCGTCAAAGACCCATGTGCAAACATTCCAAAGTGTGGAGATGGCTACATATGGGTTCAATGCTGGTTATTTTGAAATGTCCGGTACTAGGTGCCACTGTTTAAAATCATATTTTTTGATAGCAAAGTTTGATTGATAGTATTAACTATTTTTAGCAAAGGTTGCGGTTTTGTTATTTAGTTTGATTTATAACTTTGTTATCTAACATAAATCATAATTTAATAAACATATCGTGAAATATTTTTTTATTTATTTATAAATAACCTTAGGTGCCCGCCACTAGACGACTTCACCCTATGCTTTTTACAGAATTAGCATCAAGCTCTTAATGTTTGTGTTGGCTGCAGCCTTAAAATATTTTTGTTTTAAAAACTTTACGTATGATACTTATAATTAGATATTTTACTTTTATTGTTATCATTATTATAAAAATGTTAAATTAATTTTGATAC